CTCGGCTCAGAGCGTGGTGCTGGTCAGGGCCAGTGCGGCGTGTGGACTGGACTGAGAAGGACGTCGTCGGTGCTCTTCTAGCGGCGTTAGCACACTCCCTTCCCACCCTCCTGCTGCAGAAATGAACCAGCGGTGAGCTTGGCCTCTGATGTTTGTGGGGGACAAACCTGATGACTGGACCACTGGACAAGACTGCTGAGGGTCACTTTCTCAAAGTAAACCACGTGACCATTTTCTCTCAGAAAAGGGCCTCAGGGAGAAGAACTCCATGAGGAGCACACCTCTGGACAGAGCCCCTGCCTGGGTGTGCCCGGGAGGCCACTTCACCCTTGGGGCCCAACGTGGACACCAGGGAGGGAGAGGCCGCACAGAGGCCTGTGGAGGCGCAGGGCCCTGCGGCCTCTCAGACAGATGTAGAATAAGGCCCTGCGGCTGTGGTTGCCACCAGCCAGGTGTCCTTTTCCTCCAACCGAGGGGAAGTTTGCTCTGTTATCTCAACCTATCGGACAGGCAGTGCTCCCAGACAGTGTGCCATCCCGTGTCAGTAATCAACGTCCTGAAGGAGTGGTGGCCCTCTGGCTCTGGGACACTAGCAGGACTGGGTTTTCACCAGACGGCAACCTGCAGAGGGGCAGGAGCCTGCTCCGGTGGCTCCTGCACCTGAAGGCCTTGCTGGGCCGCCCGGTGCTCACAGACAGGCGAACTCCCAGTGGACTGAGGCCGGGACCAGTCAGGCAGAGTTACCCAGGGTATCGGGGAAGCAAGAGGAACGAGCCCTGCAGTCACCCTCCCTGCTAGCTCCCAGCTGCGGCCTCGAGTTGCTTCCTTCCACCCAGAACTGGTTCCCACCCCAGTCAAGCAAGGGAAGGGGTAAGGGGAGGCAAGAGGGCAATTCAGCTAAACATAGAAGCCCCCAACTCGGAGCTGGACAGTGCTGGCTCAGCGCCCCATCCTTGCTGGTGGCCAGCCCCCCAGGCTCGCCCAGTGCCCCTCAGTGGCCACGACAATGAGCCACAAATGCCCCTGGCTCTGGGCGCGCACATGGGAGCAGACGGAGGCAAACTCACCCGTTGTGAACTGGCCTTTCAGCTTCTGGAAGACAGGGTCCTGGGCGGTGGCCTGGGCCCGCCGGGCAAGAGACTCGGAGGCCGCGCTGGAGAACATGGTGGACACGTTGGACACATTCTCCAGGCCCACCCCGAACGTGCTCACCAGCTTCTTGACGAAGTTGAGAGTGTGGGGGGTGATCTTGGCGTCAGACACGGCCCCGCTCTTCTCGAAGGCCACCGAGTAGCACTTGGCCAGGCCCTGCTGCAGCTGCCTGAGCACCTGCGGAGAGAGCCAGGCGCAGCTCACAGGACGGCCCCGGCACCACCGCTGCCGCCACGGGGTGGGAGCTGCATGCGTCCCCGTGGTGAGGAGCCCAGGGTGGCGATGCAGACACCTGCGTCCCCCACCCACAAAACACCAGCCAGGCCCTGGGGCAGGAATGCTCGGTTCCGGCTGACTTTCATGCTCGCCTCACGTGTTTCCCAGGCATGCGGTTGACCACACACACGCTCACAGACACACGTCTTGGCTAACAGCAGGGGCTTCGAAAAGTTCGTGGAAAACAGAAAGACAATGGAATTCTCCTGCAAAACTTCAGCTATGCCCCCGTAACTAGAAGCTGGCCCCGTGGCCCATGCAGACTGTGTCTGGGGATGGCCTTCAGACTGTGTCTGAAGGCTGGCCAGGCCGAGGGCCAGTGCTGGCAGCCCGTGAGCTCACTGGAGCAGAGACGCCCTGTGAGCGCTGTAACTGCGCAGAGGCCACACTCTCAAGCTGAGGGGCAAGGCGACCTGCAGGCTGAGCTGGCCACTACACTCAGAAATGGAAGAGACAGACCACTCACGAGCCGACGGGCGCTGCCTCCCCTGGCTCCCGGCCCACCCAGTACCTCCTCGTGCCAGTTCTCCCGAAACCAGACCATCTGGTCGACGATGCCCTCCAGGGACGACAGCAGGGTGGGGTGCAGCTCCCGCTGCATGTGCATGATTCGGCTGCAGCGCCACATGGGGGCCGTGGCTCTTATGGGCCCTGGATCTGATGCAGAATGGGACTGGTTACCCACTGAACTGGGCTGCTGCTGTCCAGAATCTGAGAGCAACACACACAATGCCAAGGTCAGCACCACACGGCCAGCCCGAGCACGGGGCTCCACAGGGCCCGCCAGCCACAGGAAGGCAGGCTCCTGAGGGCGCGCCACACGCCAGCCTGCCGGGGCAGGCCCAGGGCTGGGGACTCCGGGCGTGGCATCCACACCCTCGGGGCTCTCAGCGAGAGGTCTCAACCTCCTGTCAGCAGGGGCGTTAACTGAAATGCTGGCTGAAACAGAGTCGTCCTTGTTCCCACAGCCTAGCATCAAGAGAAGCATGTCTACAAGGGACTCAATCCACTGCCACTCACTCAACAGAAAACGGACTGCGGACGCCCCAGCCCCCTCTGAGAATGAAACGCTCCTCTCTGCTATGGAGACGCAAGTCTGTTCGGGGCACTGCCCGGAGCTCAGCGCTAAAGCCTGCTGCACAGTCCACCAGCCACCTGCCTGCTCGGGGATGGCGGAAGCCTCGGCCCCACAGCACGAGTGTCCGGCGTTTAAAAGACCACTGCAGTACGCGGTCCTTGGCCGCTTAGAAAGCGCCAAGATAGGGGTAGTCGGTAGCGCCGAGTAAGTGAGGCCCTTACGACACAGATTCTTGGAGTTGACTTTTATCAGCGTTTGAACATCGCTTTATGCTGCCATACTTTGGACTGCTGAAAACCTCGTCACTGAGAGAAACCGCTCACGGGCAGTGGCTAATGAGCACCGAGGCAGGGGAAGGACTTGGAGTTCCCTGCCCCTGAGTATCCAGGGTCCTTCCCTACACAGCAACGGGCCCCACCGCTCAGCTAAGTAAACACCCTGCAGACAGCCTTAGGCAGCCATGCTCTGCCCCCCAATGGCCCCTGCCCCCCTCCCTGGGCAGTGAGCAGAGGGTGGGTAGGTACGTACCACTCTTGTAGCGTTCCCGCTGCTCGATCTTCAGCGTCAGGTACAGCGTCCGGATGGGGAAGTACACAGCCTGTGGGTACACTCGTCCAACCTGTCCCGAGACATGAGGGAGGCCTGTCAGCCCGCCGGCGATGCCCTGGTAGCTAGCTGGCAGGTGGGGAAGTGGGTTTAGCTTTCGAATCACCCCTCTGCCAGGGACAGCCAGCTGCAAAAGGTACATTCACACCCCAGTCAACCCAGAGGCAACATGGTCTCCTGTGCCAGGCGACAGTACAGCCGGGCCCTTGCTCGAGGTACACTGCCCTGGGACCTGTGAACGGGTCCAGGCTGCTGACAAGAAGCCGGTCAGCTAGGGGTTTGCCACTGGGGGACCGCAGAAGTCAAGCAGGACAGAGGACGGGCACACGCCGTGCTCACCCCACGAGGGCTGCCCCGCCCCTTCAGAAGGGCAGAGCTGACCGTGCCGAGCTCCGTGGGGATCCCGACGGCCACAGGCCGAGGGGGCTGGCCGTTACGTGAAGACACTCAGCAGTACACGAGCTTCGCCCCAGCAGAGCAGCTCCAAGCCAGTGGCCCAGGCACAGTGCCCACCTCTGCACGCGGCTCGTGGAAAGGCAAACCACAGTGTGGGGCAGCCCGGCAGCCCTCATAAGGACTTCCCTTCCTCGGCTGTGGGCCGGGCCTTCCCCTGCAGGGGAACTTTTCTGATCTTTCCCAAACACGAGGGGGCTTCAAAAGGTTCTTGGAAGGTCCAGGGACTTTTCATTCCTCTTCCCCAAGAACACCTTGAAGCCCCTCGTGATGCGCTGTCAGACTCCCCAGCCCACTGCCTGTGGGCTGCACAGCTCTGTGGTGGTCGTCACCAGACCTTCGGAGAACACGCCGGGAAATCGAGTGCAAGACACACTTCCTGCAGCCTCTCCAGAGCAGCTGTGAGCAGCGTATCGCACACTTGAGGCACTTGCACCATCACAAGCCCGGGGTTAGCGCCCCAGCCCTGTCCCCCCTTCTCCCGGGCCGTGCTTCACTGCGTCCATGATCGGCGCATCTTCCAAGCCCCGAGCACACGCACTCTCTTTCTGGGACAGCGTTTCTCACCCGGTGGCTCGGACAACCCTATCACAGGGGTCGCTGATTCATAACAGTAGCAAAGTTACAGTGATACAGTAGCAACAAGAATAACTATGACTGGGGGGGGGGGGTCACCCCAACACGAGGAACTGTATGAAAGGGTCGCAGCATGAGGAAGGTTGAGAACCGCTGCTCTGGGGAGAGGAGAGGGAGCCAGGGACAGAGCCGGCTGGGCGTGCAGGCGCGGTCTTGTGCCCACCTGGCTGATGAGGTTCAGAAGCAGCTTGCCCTCCGAGCCGACCAGGCAGGTGAGCAGCTGCGGGATCCAGGCCAGCCACTGGATGGGAGGCACGCCGATGCAGTACTTGTCCACGGCATCGGCCAGCGTGTTCTTGTCGTCGTCAAAACTCAGCAGCCACAGCACCTGCAGAGGGAGCACCGAGTCCAGAGTTGGATGACAGAGAACGCGGAGGCCTTTCACCAAATGGCTTTTTCCCGGCAGCAAACACCACCACACAACCAAACCAAAACACAATGGCACTAGACAGCAACACTGTATCGTTTCTAGGGCAGATAAGCCTCGTCTTTCCCGATGGAGTGACCGGTGGTGGGTTTGGGCGGCCACCTGGTGGTTAGCAACCCGAGGCCTTACTGACAAGGGGACAACAGCTACAGGATGGCGGCTCATTTCCCATGAACTATGAAAGACACGAGAGGTGTAAGAGCCAGCGGTGGCTGGCATGGAGGTCACCACCACCCATTTCTTGGAGCTCAGGTGAGTCTAGTGTCCTGGACTCTGAAAGAACTGTGCATGCCAATGACGCAGCGCCCACTCTGCAAGGTGGCCCTGTCGCGAAACAAGCACCTGGAAACAGCAGGTGCCAGTGGTTACCAGGCTGGGAGGAGGCGGGGTGGGGACAGGATGACGGAGAAAGGGCAGGCCCTGTGCAGAGTCACAAGGTACAGACTGCTGAGTGCTTGGTTGTGCTTATTTTAGCGAGTGCCAGGGGCGCCGCCCTGGAGTGAATGGGAGGGGACCCCACGCCTCCCACCGGGAGCCTCACCTTGGCCAGGTACTTCCTGGACTTGCTCTCATTCTGATGCCGACAGGCGTGCAGGTAGCAGGTGATGGCAGACACACCGAGGTGCAGCTGCCGCTCCTTCACGAAGATGTTCTCCAGGTAGTCCCCCCACATGGCCCAGGCTTTCACCAGCACATCGTGCATCTGCACGGCCGCCGAGAAGGCTTTGTTGGCTTCCTCAGACCTGCGAGGACACGGAGCCAGGAGGCCAGTCAGCTAACTCCCAGGGAAGTCCCATCTTCCCAGGACAGGTTCCGGTGTGGTTTCTACCTGCTGGCTACTGTGAACAGGCCCTGTGGCCGTCACACCTCGAAGGGCACCATGGACCCGGAGTGCAGTCACTCCCACGATCCCCGCTCTGGGTTTGCTGCTTCTGAGTTGGGTTTTTGTGCTTTTTAAAAACTTTCCATTTATGTGATTTGGGAGAAAGGAGGCAGGGAGGAGGCAGAGCAGATCCGTGTCCAGTCAGAGGTTTACACACACTTGTTTCCTGCGATGGACCGCATTCCCCTCTTCCTCCCTGTTGTTTCTATTCTTCCTCTTTCCCTGCCGAGCTCCCTCCCCAGGCACAGGCTGCCCGGCTGACCTCGTGCCTCGGGCGTTTGGCGAAGCGCAGCCCGGCCTGGTGCTACTGTTCACAGCACACACCTACCCTCTGGCTGAAAGCTCAACCGTGGGGCAGTTCAGTCTCAGACTGCGGGCCACTATTCCGGACGTTACTCTGCATAGTCCGTGTGGTTAGGTTCCCAGCAGCCCTTGGGTCTGCTGTTGTTCCGACTCACAGGGACCGGGGCACAACAGGACAAACCCTACCTGGCCCCACCCCACCCTCTCAAGTGCGATGTCTGAGGCCCGGTGTCTCTGGGTCCCAGTCACTGCCACGCCATCAGGAGCTCCGTGGTGGCTTTACGTCTGAAGTGACCAACTTCCCCACCCTGCTGGGTCTTCCCTGTTCTCTTCCTCTTCCTGGGGACATACATACTTGTTGATCTGAGCCAAGAACATTCCCTTCAGGGCGTAGAACTCAGCCGTCATCTCTTTGGTGAAGTATTTCAAGTTTGTCGATTCGATAACTTCAAGGCCCTGTTTAAAAAAATAACTTGAAAGTAAGAAAAAGTCCTTGAAGTTCTTATATCAGCAGTAAAAAATACTTATCTCCCCTCACAGAAGGATCACACGGAAGAGACAATTCAGCCAGGGTGCAGTCTAGCACCGACAAAGCACACACCATTCCTCTGGATCTTTAATGCTTCCTGCCCCCTCCACTACCATGACCCAGTTCTACCCCACAAGTCCTGCTAGACTGGTGTATGTACATTGGTACAGGTTAAGAGCTTTTGACACACGGAAGCCAGCACAGATAAATCCCTCAGGAGCAGCAATGGAAACAGCAATACCATGAGGGTGGGTGGAGGGTGGAAGGGGCAACGAGAGTGATGACGGATGCAGAATCTCCCCCACCCCACCCCACCCCCGGGGGACAAACAACAAAACGTGGGTGAAGGGACACAGCAGACAGCGTTAAGGTATGAAAATAATAATAACCTAATTTATCAAGGGTTCACGAGGGTGGGAGACGGAGGCAAAAAAGAGGAGCTTATAGTAAGGGCTCAAGTAGAAAGATAATGTTTTGAAAATGATGATGGCAGCAAATGTACAAGTTTGCCTCACGGATTGTTATATCTGTAAGAGCCCTCAATAAAATGATATAAATTTTAAAAAGTTTTATCAAGGGTACTCCAGTCAACAATTCGCCTGCTTTAAAACTCCCAGCAGGCTGCCGACAGGGCTGTGCAACCATGGATCACCGCGCCCAGGCCGAGTTCCAGACACTCGGTTTATTACTGGCTCCCAGTGTTCATGGTGTTAGGAGCGTTTTCCTGAACACAATGGAAATCTCCTAATTTAAAAAAGTTCACCGCAGTCAAGTCGATTCAAACACAGAAGCCCGCTCCTTAGGGTGTCTACACAGGACTAGGTAGTCTCATCTTTCTCTGGCAGAGCGGCTGGTGGTTTTGAACTGCTGACCTTGCAGTTAGCAGTCCAATGCGTTACCCACAGCACCACCAGCTCGCCTTGAAATCTACTCACATTAATAGTCTGTCCCTTTAAAATTCTCTTTCCTGAAACACATGAATCTCAAGACTTCGAGACAGACCCCACCCTACCTGCATGCACTCGTTCTTCCCCATGACCCCAGCCAGCTGCAGGTAGCATTTGACTTGCTGTCGAATCTTCTGGAAGCAGTCCACGATGGGGACGGTTGGGATGGTGTGAATGCGACTGAGGATGTCCAGGGCCACGTTGACCAGCCCTTGTTTCCGGGCGATTTTCCCGTACTGGATGATGGCCGAGGCCGAGGCGTGGACGCCGAGCATAGCGTTGTTGGAGCTGGGATCGTGCTGGGAGCTGTTTTCATACGCAGTCACGATAGCTAGGGAGAGGGGATGGAGAGTCGGCCAGGGCTTCACGGTAAGGCAGCGGTCCTCAAGCTTTTTAAACAGGGGCCAGTTCACTGTCCCTCAGACCCGTTGGGGGCCGGACTATAGTTTTAATAAAAACAACTATGAACAAATTC